TCTGTGCCCTGCCCAACACCACATGCAACACACTCTTTTCAGCTTTCCACACCATGACCAGCACAGTACACTGATCTCTTGCCTGGGGCTCTCACTTAGGCATTCTGTGCTCCAATGAGCCCAGGATTCTTACAAAGCTGTAGCTTTCTGTGCCAGGCCCAGCCCAGCAAACCACTTGCCTACTGAGGACTCTGGCTCTGAGTTTCTATTCCTGCCCAGGCCCAGTGGAGAGGCCAGGGTTCCAGCCCCTCCCAAGATTTTTATGCCCCTCCAAGGTTTGCGGCTGCTGCTGACTTGCAACTGTAGTCAGGCCCCTGGCTTCCTCCTGGTTCAACCTGGTCCCTGCAACTGTTTGGGAAGAGAACTGGTAGATGGAAGATCTCTGTCTCTCCCTTTCTCTGTCACTCTTTCAATAAAATAAACCTTTAAAAAAAGATTTGAAAATCAACTGTTATAGAAAGGGAGAAACAGAGAGAAGGGGATAAAATAAAACTTTTTTAAAAGATTACAAATATTAGTGAAAGAGATTAAAGAAGACACCAAAAAAAATGGAAAAGATGTCTTTTTTTTTTTTTTTTTTTTTTGAAAGGCAGAGTGGACAGTGAGAGAGAGAGAGACAGAGACAAAGGTTTTCCTTTTGCCGTTGGTTCACCTTCCAATGGCCGCCGCAGCAAGCGCGCTACGGCCGGCGCATCGCGCTGATCCAAAGCCAGGAGCCAGGTGCTTCTCCTGGTCTCCTATGCAGGTGCAGGGCCCAAGGATTTGGGCCATCCTCCACTGCACTCCCAGGCCACAGCAGAGAGCTGGCCTGGAAGAGGGGCAACCAGGACAGAATCCGGCGCCCCAACCGGGACTAGAACCTGGTGTGCCAGCGCCGCAGGCGGAGGATTAGCCTTTTGAGCCGCGGCGCTGGCCAAAAGATGTCTTCTTAATGGATTGGAAATATACTATCAAAATGTCCATATTACCCAAAATGATTTCCAGGTTCAGTGCAACACCATAAAATACCAATGACATTCTTCGCAGAACTAGAAAAAAAAATTGTGAAATTCCCATAGAAACACAAAAGACCCTGAATAGACAAAGCAGTCTTTTAACAATAAAAACAAAGCTAGAGGCATCACATTACCAGATTTCAAAAAATACCATTGAATTATTATAACCAGAACAGCATGATACTGGCATAAAAACAGACACAAAGACCAAAGGAACAGAATAGAAACCCCAGAAATAAATCCACACATCTTGATCAGAAGAGTCCCCAGCACTGCCCTTGATGAAAAGCTGAGTTGAGCCTAGGCTGCTTTTATACATCAGGTGACTCTACCATTCCCATGACTGCAGGAGGGTAGGAGATGAAGGTAAAAGTAGATGAAGCTGAACCAATCAGATCGCTCCATTGAGAATCAGAAGTACAAGCAATGCTCAGACACTGTTAAGCTTTATGCTATAAAATTACATGTAATTCATTTAGAAACATATCACAAAACCAAAAGTCTCTGACTCTAGAACAAAAATTGTTAGAGACAAATTTTGTGAATATTTTTTTAACAAAAAAAGTACCCATCTCTCTCTAAATATCCAGTAACTGTATCTAAAATCATAGATGAGCATCTGGGGAACTTTGTAGGTTCAGTATCATCTATTACATGTTTTCAAAGTTTTTTTTGTCTAGACTGCCTTTTTTATTGCAAGTATGTCATAAACTTGTTATCATCCTAGAATTTTCTTATGGTCATGCATTATGGCTTGATATGTAAAAAAATAAATCTAGATTAAATTCTAAAATGCTTGACAAAATATGATAGCAATACTCTTTTTTGGGAGGAGGAAAGTTATCCAAAACCAAAAACTATTTCAAATATTTTGGCTACCCTTTTGAAAACAAGGCACAAAATAGACTTAACCCATACTTCCCTTATTTTAAGTCTAGTTCAACCAAAAAGTCCTGAAAAACATCTAAGAACACTTGTCCAAGAGCACTCTTTGTCACAAAATTGCAATAGAGCCCATAAGCACAAGTGCTTGTGAGAGTGAAGTATAGGTAGGAGGGAACAAACTCCTAAATCTTTTATCCTCACCTCCATTTCTGGCAAACAGTAGCGGAGAATAAAATCAGCCTAGTTACCAATAAGTACATTTGCAAGGAACAGTCTCTTGTGTTTACATGAGTTAGACAATAAAGACAATTTTGGTTAAGGATCCTTCTCTTTGGTAATTACTTAACTGGCTATAACAAATTATTACATAACAAATTATATGTAGAATTTTAGTCAATTTCTAAACACTGTTTAAACATTTATTTATTTATTTGAAAGTCAGTTACAATGAGAGGGAGAGACAAATCTTTCATCTCTTAGTTCACTCCCCAGGTGGCCACAATGGCCAGGGCTGAGCCAGGCCAAAGCCAGGAGCTTCATCCAGCTCTTCCACTTGGGTTGCAGGGATCCAAACACTTCAGTCATCCTCCACTCCTTTTCCCAGGCCATTAGCAGGGAGCTGGATTGGAAGTAGAGCAGCTGGGACATGAACCAGCACCTGGTGTCACAGGCAGTGGCTTTACCCTTTACACCACAATGCCAGGTCCAAATTCTAAACCCTTTGGAGGCAGTCAGAATATATTGTAAAGGTAGGTAGTTGGATACTCTCTGTGTCCTTCATAATCAAAATACTCATAAGATTTTTAAAATAACTGAAGAGAAGTTTTTTTCTGTTTTTTCTTAATTTGATAGAGTAAATAGAGTGCAATGAAAAACAATTTATGACATATGGTGATTTCAAATGACCAAAATTGCCTCTTGACCAGTCCTAGGCTAAAATGGCAAGAAGAGCAGTATGATACAGAATATGTTGAGATAAGCACTTTCTCCTTGCTCTAAGGATTTTGGTTTTCTATCATAGCAGGGCAGTAGAAGACAAGTATGTACAGGTTTTTTGCACCAAGGTAACGTTAGGGATGAATGTGGAACAGTATGTACTTTAGGATTCTGTCACTCCATTGCTTTCCTTATATTCTAGATGAAAGTCTGAATTCTCTGCATTCACCTTTTGCATTTAAAAAAAGCCTTTGCATGTGATCATAAACACGATGGGGGTAAACAATCATATCATAAAAACTATCATATCATAAAAAATTAAGAATTTATAAAGCTACAGCTATGGAGATCCCAAATTAGAGACTCTAAGGAAACAGAGGCCAAAGTATTTATGTGGCTAACCACAGTCATGTATACACATTGACAGTGTAAGTCCAACAGTTCTATCACAATTTTTGATTCGATTTTGGCACAAGTGGCATTGACGCCCATGAACACTAAATTTTTTTTTTTTTTTTTTTGACAGGCAGAGTTAGACAGTGAGAGAGAAATAGAGAGAAAGGTCTTCCTTCCGTTGGTTCACTCCCCAAATGGCCGCCATGGCCGGAACTGTGCTGATCCAAAGCCAGGAGCCAGGTGCTTCCTCCTGGTCTCCCATGTGGGCGTAAGGGCCCAAGCACGTGGGCCATCCTCCACTGCCCTCCCGGGCCACAGCACAGAGCTGGATTGGAAGAGGAGCAACCGGGACAGAATCTAGCACCCCAACTGGGACTAGAACCCAGGGTGCCAGCACCGCAGGCGGAGGATTAGCCAAGTGAGCCACGGTGCTGGCCAAACACTAATTTTTAACCTTCCAGTATTTGTAAGAAGTTAGATTTTTGATAACATATTTGAAGAGATTAAAAGACAAAAAATGTATAAAAGAGACAGGGAGGAAGAGAGAGTTCTAAAAAATGATCTACAAACAGGTAACTGAGAAACTGTCATAATAATTGGAATATTTCTACTTCTGCCATGATTATTGATGTATTTGAGGGAAGGGAGGGAATATTACTGGCTTTTGTCATAACCTTTTTAAAATTCTATGACTTTTCTATTTTTAAAATAATATATCTGAAGTGGAAGTTTGGCGGAAAATGCCTCTATTGAACACATAAACATCCTTGCCTGGAAGTCATTAGCGATTCTTAAGAAAGGGGAGAGAAATTGCCTATACTTCTTATAAATAGGCCTGCACATTCAATCCACTTCTAGCCTTTCTCCACATTGTTGCCGAAATTCCAATCTAATATGTTAATTCTATGCTTAAAATACTTTCTGACTTTCATTTTGCTCTCAAGACAAAGAGCAGCATCATCAGGCCCTGCATGATCTGAACTCTGCATCCATCTTTAGCTTTATCTCACCTCATGTTCCTCAGAGCTCTCAATTCCACTGACACCAGCCTTTCTTCATTTCTTATTGGCCATGCCAACCCTTCCCTACTGTACCCACTTCACTATCCTATCCCACCTGCATTCTAGCCCATTAATAATTAATTTTCATTAATTCTTCAAATTTTAACCTGACCATCACTTTCTCAGTGAAAACCTCCCCAAATTGATACAACTATTGAAGCATCATATACATCTCTTTCAGAGAAGTTTTCAGTTTTTATATTTATATTTATTTGAAAAGGTACTTGATTAAAGTGCATAAACAGTAAGATGTCACCTCCTTCAGAGAGCATAAAATTGGAAATAATGGAAATGTCATCTAAGTTTTCTGGAGAAAGTAACCAATGAAACATTTCCAATCCACATTAATGACCTCTAACAATTGTGTGTGGAAGCCCATTTAGCGATAGCTTGACCAGAGAGGATATGTTTTTGCAGTAACTTGCCTGTATCATTTTCAGAACTTTAAAATAATCCAGGTAATAGTAAAACACTGAGAGGCATGAACATTGTGCAACCAATATTCATTGCTTTACTGCATCAGGATCTCTTTCCTAATTATTTTGTCAAGTTTGCTTTCTTTCTCTTTTTTGCTAAATTTTCAAGTGTTTTAGAGGTACCTTATGTCATGTAGTTAAAATAACCATGTGAGTATGCAGATGTTTGACACTGTCTTCTGGGAGTCAGTTCCTTCTCAGAGTTTCTCTCTGACACTCAAATAAATGTTTTCCTTAAACTTCCTTCCCAGTTTCATTCGGGGTCACATTTCAGGCAGTATCAACATTCCATTCAGCTCTGCGTTCACTGCAGAAGGGGAGCTCACCCAAGGTCCTCACACAGCTGTGCTCCAGAACTTCAAAGGGAAAGTCATTGTCATCGTGGGGAATGTAGCAAAGCACACAGCTGAGGTAAGTGTACCCCTGGAATGGCATATGCACAGAAGGTGAGTTATTTAGCTGCCTACCTTATATGCTGTATAGAAGTGTGTTTCTTCAGGAGCTGGTTACAAATGAAATTAAATTTGAAGATCTACCTATAATCATAAGTATAAGAGTTTGCCTGCTTTAATTCTGCCTTTTTTCCTCAGTGCAATGTATCAGGGTCAACAGTAAGCTTAGAAAAATCCAAATGGTAGCCTAAGGTTTGGGTTGGCCTAAGGTTTTGGGTTTGGCTCTCTGCTTTCTAAAATTACAAAATAGTTTGAATTCCCTCCATGGAGAACAGTGGGGCTCAAGTATAGGCTCTGAAAGATGGTCATGGTATAATCTATTGGACAAAGGAGTTTCTTTTATTAGAAGCTCAAAACTTTTTAATGATAATTCAGAAAGGACATCAACTTTCAGAAATGCTGAGTGCGTAAGATAAAAAATAGTTTCCCTCTTCCACGGCTGTGTTCTAAGCAAATTTAACAATAAAACAGGTGCAGGCACTGTGGTTTAGCGGGTAAAGCTGCCGCCTGTAGTGCTGACATCCCATATGAATCCTAGCTGCTCCACTTCCGATCCAGCTCTCTGCTATGGCCTGAGAAAGCAGTGGAGGATGGCCCAAGTGCTTGGGCACCTTCATCCATGTGGGAGACCTGGAGGAGGCTCCTGGCTCCTGGCTTTGGATCAGTGCAACTCCAGCTGTTGCAGCCATCTGGGGAGTGAACCAGGGAGTGGAAGTCTTCTCTCTCTCTCTGCCTCTGCCTTTCTGTAACTCTGCCTTTCAAATAAATAAATAAATCTTTAAAAATTAAAGCAAATAGTAGCATATGGAGGCCAAAAAAACTCACTTTTTTTTTTTATAAAAGACAAGTTAGAGACTTTTCCTTAGCAAAAGAGTCAAAAAGGCTTGCTAAAAAAATAAAACATCAGAAATAGGTAGAGAACATACTTAAGTGTGGACAGCATTGAACTGTGCAGGCCCTTTGGCTGAAGGGAGGTAAGAATTTCTTCCTGGCTGGCGCCGCGGCTCACTAGGCTAATCCTCCGCCTGCGGCACCAGCACCCTGGGTTCTAGTCCCGGTTGGGGCACTGGATTCTGTGCCGGTGGCTCCTCTCCCAATCCAGCTCTCTGCTGTGGCCCGGGAGTGCAGTGGAGGATGGCCCAAGTGCTTGGGACCTGCACCCGCATGGGAGACCAGGAGAAGCACCTGGCTTCTGGCTTCGGATTGGCGCAGCGCACCAGCGTTAGTGGCCATTTGGGGGATGAACCAATGGAAAAAGGAAAGACCCTTTCTCTCTGCCTGGCCTGCCGGTCTGGCTCTCCCGCTCTCCCCTCCCTAAACTTTGCCTGGCAAAAAAAAAAAAAAAGAGAAAGAGAAAGAATCTCTTCCTGGAAAATCAGCAGAGATAGCTTGCTCCTTGGGTGCAAGGCTATGCCTTCCCAACTTTACCAATCAAAAAATGCCTCTACCTCCCATGGCAGAGTAAATCCAAATAAAAAGAGAAAGGGTCAGAAATGTGTGCGCTTAGGAAACTTTCATCACCAAGGAGATTTAGAGTGGAGGTTAGATATTCCCCTCCAGTATACTTTTTTTTTAATATTTATTTATTTACTTAAAAACAGAATTACATAGGGAGACGGAGAATCAGAGAGAGAGAGAGAGGTCTTCCATACTCTGGTTCACTCCCCAAGTGGCTGCAACATCCAGGACTGAGACAATCCAAAGCCAGGAGCTTCATCTGGGTCTCCAACGTGTGTGAGAGGTGCCCAAGCACTTGGACCGTCTTCTACTTGTCTTCCCTGTCCAATAGCAGGGTGATTGATTGGAGATAGAATAACTGGGACACCAACAGATGTCCATACGGGATGCCTGTTTTTTTGTTATAGTAGCTTTACCCACTATACCACAACACAAAGCCCCAAGCATGTCACTTTAGGTCTCTTTGTACTGAACAATTCAGAAGTGTGCCTACTGAGAATGTCGTCAGATGAAACTTTGGATTTGGGTATAGGTTGCTTTAAACATCCAGCAGTATTTACCTCAGGAATCTAAAGCAAATTATAGCATTTTGACACTAAATGAAGAGCAACCATGTGATGAAACTTGATCAACCTTGATGATGACTGGACTCAAAAAGTATCTGTGTGGTATTATTTATAAGTCATAAATCACTCACCCTTCTTTTATATAACTGTCTAGCATCCAACAGAGAATAAATTACACCTATTTTGAAGAGTCATTGACCACTTTAATGTATAATTTCAAGTAAATGAGAATATTTTATAAATAAAGCCATGGTGTGTGTGTTTGTGTGTGTGTGTATGTATGTATAAAATTTTGATGTAAGTTGTTAAATCAGTATTGTTTTACTTCTACCACTATATAGTTGCTGCTATATTAATCTCTGTTGCCATTTCATTCTAGTGAAAAATGTCAAATTTATAGTGCATATCTATACATTCATCTTTTAGAAATACTATTGAAAATCACTTATTTCTAGGTCCTAAGTAATAAATGGCCTTGGGAAGACATCTTAACAATGATAATAATCCCAGTTGTGGACTGATCTTTATAAGCTATCATGTTACATATATTATCTCATTTTACTCTTCATACTAATTCTATGAAGAAAGTAGTGTTCTGCTTTTTACATTTTACATGTTAGTGTTCTACATTTTACATATGAGAAAAGCTTAGATTCAGAGTTTATCTAATTTGCTTCTGAGAACCAGAAACACAAGTCTGCATGAGTCCACAAGCCATATCTTCAACTCAGTGTGCCCTTAACAAGTTTTAGAGACTGAATGCTGCCACTTTTCCTGTTTTTTAAATCAGGCATATTCTTCTTTTTCAGTGCTTTAATTTTAAAAATTAAATAACTTTTGTGAAAGGGCCTTATAATCCCTCCATTCCCATTTTTTATGACATAGTACAGAAAAATCTAGACAACAGTTGTACTTTTTCGGGATAATCTCACTGACATACTGGGTCAAGAGGTAGTCAATAACAATGTACATTAACTATTAAATAATCATACATCTCTAGAAATATCCTTTGAAAAATGTTTGAGCATACCATACAAAAAGTTTACATTTCAATTTTAAACATCACTGAATGCAAACTTCAACTTTTTCCTATTTTCATTCTTTTTGTAATAGGGTACTCTTCTTTTTTTTGTGACTATAAGTACTTTAAGATCAAGTATTTTATCTTGAAAAGATAAGATATGGTGGTTAACGAATAGATTCACAAAAGTTAGTGACTTGGTAGGAAGTAGGTTTCTTGTCATTATCACATAACAAATCGAGCCTGGGAATTCATGATTTCAGGCTCTTCATTTGTAGTTGTTCTGCTCCAAGTGGTTATGCAGGGTCATAGGCTGAATGAGAATTAGACATAGTGAATCTGTGTCTGTTGGTGTTACCATTATCTTCATGCCAGTCAGAGACTTCATAGCATTTCATTGGGATTTCTCCCATATCCGAATATTTTTTATGGAAATTATTGTTGAAGCCTCTGATAAGTGCACCCTGAGGTTGCTGAATGTATCTGTATTTGTTGGTTGATGATTGGCTGACAGTGTGATATTTAAAAATTTAAATGCCTATATCAATTGTGGCTTTTAAGAAGTTCCACAGCTGAAGCCTGGAATGCTTGCAGTGTGGCTTAGTCTGAGTTAAGGGCTTCAGTACCAGAAAAGCTAAGGGTGTGTCTCAGTTTTAGGCCAAAAAACCTGAATGCCTGCAGAGAGGCTGCAGAGTAGTTCTGGAGCTCCAGGACCAACAAGTAATATCCAAGACAGGACTCAGGTGTGCAGACAGGCATATTCTTCATACCTTGCTTGCAACTCCCTCTCCTATTCCCATTTTTAATTTTTACAAATATGTATTTTCAGTTAACTTTATACTCATAAGATTAATCCTGAAGTAAGTAGATTTCAACAAATAGTATGAAGAAAAAAAACACTGTTCCACAATAATCAAGATAAGGGCTGTTCAAAATCATCACATCTCAAAGTGTAAAGTTCAATCCTATAGATGACCTTTTAGGTACTCTGTATTTACCACAAATCAAGGACAGCATCTGGTCTTTATCTTTATGGGACTGGCTTATTTTTTTTTTTAAAGATTTATTTATTTGAAAGACAGAGTTACAGAGAGAGGTAGAGACAGAGAGAGAGGTCTTCTGTCCGCTGGTTCACTCCCCAGATGACCTACAACCGCTGCAGTTGTGCTGATCCAAAGCCAAGAGCCAGGAGCTTCTTCCAGGTCTCCCATGTGGGTGCAGGTCCAAGGACTTAGGCCATCTTCTACTGTTTTCCCAGGCCACAGCAGAAAACTGTATTGGAAGAGGAGCAGCCAGGACTCGAATCAGCGCCCATATGGTGATATTGGTGCTTCAGGCCAGGGCTTTAATGCACCACGCGATGGCACTGGTGCCAGGACTGGCTTATTTCACTACGGATGATGGTTTCCAGTTGCATCCATTTTGTTGCAAATTACAGGATTTCATTTTTTGCTGATGTGTAGTATTCCATAGTGTATATAGACCATAATTTCTTTTTTTTTTTTTAAGGATTTATTTAAAAGAGTTACAGACAGGCAGAAAGAGAGAGAAAAAGAAGTCTTCCATCCACTGGTTAACTCTCCAAAGGGCTACAACGGGTAGAGCTTGGTTGATCTGAAAGCCAAGAGCCAGGAGTTTCTTCTGGATGTCTCAGGCAGGTGCAGGGGCCCAAGGACTTGGGCCATATTCTAGTGCTTCTCCAGACAATAGCAGAGAGCTGGACTGGAAGTGGAGCAGCCGGGACTTGAACTGGCACCCATATGGGATGTGGGCACTGCAGGTATTGGCTTTACCTGCTACAGCACAGCACACACCCCTACCATAATTTCTTTATCCAGTCTTCAGGTGATGGACCTCTGGGTTGATTCCATATCTTAGCTATTGTTAATTGAACTGCAATAAACATGGAAATAA